TTTCTCTGTAAGTTCCTGGTTCCTCCCTAGACCCAATCATAAAACATCTTTCAGTATTTAGCACAAATGATTTATATGAAAATCCTATTCTCTTAAAAATCTATTTATTTTACTTGAAAATCATAATTCTGCACTTAGTGAAGTGCAATGTCTCTGTCAGTTTAACTGCCACCCCTCAGACATTTACCATTTCTTTATCTTAAGAGCAAAATCCTCTGTAGTAGCGTCTTTGGAATAGTCAACCAATCATCGACAACCACAACTCATCCAACTACACTATAGGAGTGATTCCTCCACCCAGCGGGCTGCACCCTTGAGTCTGTGAGCCATCCTCTGGCCCTCTCCTTACACTCAGGCTCTGGTGAACACTATTCTTTTTACTTTTATGAGACCACCATTTTGCTTTTTGCTTATATTGTCATGTAAATGACAATATCCATCTTTCTGTGAGGACTTATTTCACTTGATTGAAGTTGATTCATGTTCTGTAAATGACAAAATATTTTTACAGATAAGTAATATTCCACCCTGTATATAAGCCGCATTTTCTTTCTCTGTAAGTTTCTTTTGTTGCTGGACGCTGGTTGTTTCCAACCTGGCTGTTAGAACTAGAGCTGCTTAATAAATATGGGGGTGCAGATGTGTCTGTGACATACTGCGTTCACTCCCTTTGGAATGATAGTCGTATGATAGTCATATGATAGTCTTTTGAGCTCCATCCCGATTTCCAAATGGCTCTACTACTTTGCCTTCCCAACACTGTTGAGATTTCAGCTTTCCCACATTCTCATTTTATTTTTGTCTTTTTAACAAAAATATAACAATTCTAACTGGGGTGTGATGATGCCTCATTGTTAAGCGTCCCTTTCTTGCACTGTGGTTAGGCTGTCACAAGCTTTTATCTTCACCCTCCATCCACATGTAACCACATTCTCACAGGAATAGGTGCTATGATTTGATTTTTTTTTTTTCTACACTTTCTTGGAATATAGTCTCGAGGTGCAAAAATGAATGCAGCCTGGCCAGGCACCTGAAGGGCTCCTGGTACCCAGGTCACAGTGACTGGCATGGGGTTAGCACCGTCATCTGCCCACCTGTGATTTGCCCACACCCTTGAATCGTCTCCTTGGAGGAAATGCACTATACTAGAATTTCACATTTATGTTGTTCTTCAAAGGGCTTCTTGGTGACAGAGGAACAAGCAGGAAAAGTGTAGGGAAACATGTTGTATTACCGGGAGGCATTTCTCCAGAAGTCTGCTCGAATGCCTGTGAAGAAATGCTTAATCCAGCCTCTGCGGAAGAATCATTTCACAGTCTCCTCAGACACCCTGGCCTCAAACAAATGCAGGTAGCCACGCCTATGTTGTTGAGTTGTAGAATTAAAAGAGCTTTTGGTGTAAACTGTACCTGTGTGAACTGGGCAACCACTGAGTCACTTCCAGCCACAGGGAAAGTGCAGGTTCAGACTAGGACTACCGGTGGCCTGTTCTGTCCAGACCACTCTGTCCCAGTCTCCTTCAGTGCCAGATCTGGACAGAAGTTCAGGATGATCCCTGGAGCCTGCAAACCAGCCAGTCTATCCAATCAAGGAACTTGAACTCCAGGTTTAGGGAGAGTCCCTGCCTCAATAAAGAAGGTGGGGCCATCTCACTTGGTGAAGACATTTGGTGTCAAGCCCATCCTGAGTTTGATCCCCAGGATGCACACGGTAGAAGGAGAGAATCAATGGACAAGTTGTCCTGTGACCTCCGCATGGGTACTGTGTGGCACACATACACCTCTACACACACACACACACACACACACACACACACACACACACACACACACACACACACACACACACACACACACACACACACACACAAATCAAATCAATCAGTGTAAAGAAAAAAAATGTTTTCAAGATAGAGAGGAATTGAGAAGGAGAAGACACCTTTGACTTTCACACGCACATGCACACACATGACACATACACACACAGGGCTAGGTGTTTTCTACCTGTATTAATATGAACTAAACTGTGTTGGATCACATTTTATATGATTTTCAATGATTAGTCTTCAAAAGAGATGTCTTTAACAGTTTTGTCCCAAAGTCACTTGTAAGAGAATGGACGCTCACACCAAATTCCAGATTTTGCTAAGGGTGGTTAAATTGGGAAGAGTAGAGCACCTTTGGGGGAAGGCAGGTGGCAGGCAGCTGGACAGAGGAGGGTGTGGGTGTGAGTGTCTGAGAAAGAGGGACACTGAGGATCAAGACTAGGTAGATAACTTTGAAAGCTGCTCTACGGGGGTTCAATAGCACAGAAATGTTGAAAAATTATTTTACTTCAGGGTCTTAGTGGTTATTTTTTCCTCTGAATTCTTGGGTAGATGTTTTGATTGATGTGTTGATTGATTTTGGTATTGATGCTATTTGGGTAGATTCTGTCATTTTCTTGTTAATAAGTTCATTCATTCTTAGTTCCAAACAGTCTGCCATGCATCTCTTAAACAGACCCCGAAGTGAACAGAACACTGAGAATCTGGAGAAAACACTCAAAGTGTGCACCCTTCTGGGAATTCCGCCTCCAGATGACCAGGTCTTTCTTCCTTGCTTTGACAGTGGAACTCAGTGGACTTCAGCCTTGATTTGTAGGCACCGATCTTGGTGCTGCGCTTAGGTTTCCTCACAGGTCTTGGCTGACTGTATACCGAGTGGCTGGGCTGAGGGAGTTCCCTAAGTGTGGCTCCTTCCTAGTCTTTCAGGTTTGGTCTGGAATCCTTAGCATTGAGCTATGAATCTGTTTTGAGGAGACCCTTGCATTGTGTGTGCATTGAGGAGACCCTTGCATTTTCCTTCTGAGGGTTAATTGTGTCCCTGTTTCTCATCCACTGAGGTGATGGGAGTTCTCACCTTCTTGCTCAGCAGGAACACGCTTTCTTAAACTGCTACAACATTACTTGTGCCATTGCCTGTGAACAGAAAGCCAGCATCTGCAGTTTCCTTCCCACTAAAGTGCAACAGTCGTCCCGGGGTAAAGGACTTAAATTTTATTTGCTGTTCGACATGGAATTATTGGTCATTGGTGTTTATGATAGCAGACGCCCTCATTAAGAACTTACCCATCGTTTACACCTCATAATTAAAAGAAATGGTTGTTTCTGTGGCAAGGACAGCTCTGGAATACTAAATGGAATGGGCGGGTGTTTCTTCAAAGGCAGCCCAGTGCCTTTGAAGAATACTGGCAACTATTTCAGGTCTCGGGTAGCTAAGTGAGCACTTTAGGTCTTAGCCCACTCTGGCTGCTATAACAAAGTTCTAGAGATCAAGCCAACCAGATGTGTTCCTCACAGTGCTAGAGGCTGGGAAGTCAGGGACCAAGCCAACTGGTTCGGGGTCTGATAGACCTCACCAACTCACGGAGAGCACCTTCTCCCCAGGTCCCTGAATCCTTCACAGGACAAGCTATGCACTCAGCACCTCTTATCTGAGCACTAACTGCATTTATAGGCCTTATCACTTATGACTTAATTATCTTCCAAAGGTCCTACCTCCTAACACGGCAGCCACCTTAAGGAGTAGGATTTCAGCATTAAATTTAGGGAACACAAACATATATTCATCTCATTATATTATTAGACTTCATAATGGTCTTTGCACGCACTCTTACACACACACCTATTTCAATCAAAGAGGAAAGACTTCTTAATTATGATTTATTTATTTATTTATTTATTATTCTGATTTTATGTGTATGAGTGTAATGCCTGCAAGTAGGTGGGTGCATCCGTGTCATACAATGCCAGTAGAGATCAGAAGTGGGCGTCAAATCCCCTGGAACTAGAGTTACAGATGGTTGTTAGCTGCAATGTAGGTGCTGGGAGTTGAACCCGGGTCCTCTACAAGAGCAGCCTGTGCTCTTACCTGCTGAGCCATCTCTCCAGTCCCCCTTAATTATGGTTTAACTGAAAGTTATGCAGACAAGGAAAGGTTATGAAGGTATACAGGAGCCTTCCTGGCTGTGGTTGACCCACACTGAGACTCCTGCTTACAGACAATGGAAGTGTTCACAAGACTGAAAAGTGCATGGCTCCACAGAGCTGAATTCAAGAACTTTCTTCCAGGTTCTCTTCAAATTTCCATGCTGTTCTTCCTCAGCTGATTATTTAGTAATGGGCCTTATATTCTCCACCCAATAGGAGCATGTTTCCCAAGATTATAGCTGCGATTTGTGCTTTAACACTTGGAGCTGTGTGATTTATCCTGGTCTGCTTCTGAAGGTGGCACCGGCCCATTTCATTATATGAAAGTGGAATGCACTGAAATTTATTATTTTTCTGAACATAAATCAAGAAACAGATTCAGCATGCACTACCTGAGGGCTGACATTTCAAGCCCTTAGCCACGTGTTTCAGTAAATGTACTTTCTTACTCATTCATTGCTTCCTTTTGAATCATTGCCTCTGCCCTGTGTGGTGGTTGATGTCTCCCTTCACCCTGGATGAGCCCATTTCTTTCCGAGGGTGCGAGTTTCCATAGAATAATAGAAAACCTTGGCCCGACCTACACAGAACACTTTGCCTCTCTTCATAGTGTGTAGAACCCCAGGAAAGAACTGATGAGAACAGTCCAGTAAAGCCATTTTCTGTTGCTTAAACATATATATTTTTTACATTACAAGGGAAAACATTAACAGTGCTTTGTTTTTATTTTTCTACCTATTTCAATATTCTCAGACACTTTAATATTCCAGCATAATAATTTGTATATTTCTATTTACATAGTAGTGTGTGGCTTACTTTCAATTTCAAAATGAAAATTTAAAACATTGGTTTGACAATACCGAATGCTCCATGAAGGTAAATTTTAATGACTTTGGTCACAAAAGTTAATTTCAAATGTTAGACAGTAATTATTAAAACCTCACAGTGATGCAAGATATATCTGTGAGCTCCGGTCTCTGCTGTTGGGGCCTCTCAGATAAATGTCATCCTGTGTCTGTCACTCTCTCAGGAGGTCGAGTTGTGTCGTGTTAGCAGTCAAGAGAAGCTGGGCCTGACAGTCTGCTACCGAACGGATGATGAAGAAGACACAGGCATTTATGTCAGTGAGGTATGAGATGCGGAGGGGACCTGGGGGAAGCGGGAGGGGAGGGATGAAGTGAAAGAGCTCAGAAGGAGAAAAGCCTCCTTCCAAGGCTAGAACATGCAGACCTGGCTGTGATCCAGTGCTTGTCATTTTTAATTAGGGAAGTAAATTATGCTGCCCAAGTAATGTAATTATTATCAGCTTGTTTAGTACGGAGGCTTTCCCTGCAGAATCCCAGCAAGACGTGCAGAAGTGGTAACACTGCCTAAATTTGAATAAATCCCCATGAGAATGCAGCCAGCCCAGCTAAGCTTTGATCCCCAAACACTTGTCCTTCCATTCTATCGCATCTTTTATACTTGGCTAACAATAACACTGGCTAATTGTTTGAAAATAACAGTCATAATAATCACCTCTTTTACTCTGTTGATGGGGTGGATAAATTTGAATACCCAAGAGTACATCTGTCCGTTTCTTTAATCAACCCCAAAATCACTTTCAAGAAGTAAAGGACTAAGTTTGAGTCGCCATTTTACTATTAGTTTGAAAGACTAGCAAACAGATTTTATCACCATAAGTAATATTTGAAAACTCTTAAGAAAGAACATTTTAGGAAAAGTGGAAAAGTGTGTGTGTTTTGTTATATAAACAGATGATTTAGAACTACATATATGTACATATCAACACTCATGAAGATGTGCATATCACATAGCTTAACTCCCACAAATATGTCTATATGGCTTAGACAGATTGGATGCTAATTGATTTTCCCTGCTCAGTTTTCATAGCTATAACGTTAAAACATCACCTAACAAGAAACTCACCACAAAGATGTTTATCATTTTATTGTTTTCATAGAGTTGCTTAGAATATGGAAGAGATCATAACATTAACACACTTGGAGAACAGCACAACTGTTTATAAATATAAATGGTGCTCACCTATGAAATAAATAAATAATGGTATTTTTAGTCATCACTTTACCAAAGATTTTGCTGTCTTCCTCCTACACTGAAAACTCTCTGGAGAATATTTTATTTATCTGCTTCTTTTAAATAGACAGTTCCAATTTCCCTCTGAGTAAAGAACAGAAGGGCAAAGAAATACCTGCTAACGAGCCTTAATAACCGTACAGAAGAGGGAAGTTTACTACCAGTTTGATTTCAGGCCTGAGGACAAATTTTACATGATGACTGGCTTTTAAAAGTTATACAGTTGATTGATGATCTTTCATTTCTTTCTGGTACGTTTCTATTTAGATTTCAAATATGTGGAACTGAAACTTTACTTTCCTAGGATGATAAAGAAGTACAGGAACTGAGCATGTCCACTTGTAAAGAATGCTGCCTTTCTTCCTCCTATCTATAATTACAGTGTCTTTTGTGCTTAATTCAACCACGTAAGACACCATTATTGGGTGGTACTCATAATAAGAAAGTAGTTTGTAATGTAGGAGCAGAATAGATCAACCTCATGCTGTATTTGAAATACTTTGCTTAGAAGACAAACTTTGATAGAATAAGCCTATAAATTGTTTGGAATCATCACATGAACTTAATAAATGAAATTATCCTCAAATTTAGCCCATTAAAATGTTGGCAAGGGGGGCCAGAGCAATGACTCAGCTGTTAAAGAGTACTGGCTGCTGTTTCAGAGGACCTGTGTCATATGACAACTAACCACCATCCTTAACTACAGTTCCAGGGAATCCAATGCCCTCTTCTGGCTTCCACGGGCATTGCCCAACACGGGTGCACTTACATACATGCAGGCAAAACACTCATACATAAAATAGAAATAAATTAAATTTAAAATGTTAGTAAGCTCTTAGTAGACCTTTAAATATCTATTTGTTCTAGTAATTTGCAGAAATGATTTTCCCTATGTGTAAAGTAGCACTGAGTAACAGAACACATAGATGTGAGATTTTTCATTTCTTGAACAGTATAGATTAGAACTCTCTTTGAAAATCATTATCCTTGGGAGGGGTCTGGAGAGATGGTTCAGCAGTTAAGACCACTGACTGCTCTTGCAGAGGAACTGGGTCTGATTCCCAGCATCCACATGGCGGCTAACAGCCATCCATCCATAACTCAGTTCCGGGGTATCTGATGCCCTCTTCTGACCTCCACAGGCATTGTACGACATGGGTGTACTTAACACATATGCAGGCAATACACTCAATACACATAAAATAATGATAATAAGTAAAAAAATAAAATAAAAATAAAAATTTAAAAATTAATATTCTTGTGAGACTGAAATTCCTTTAGTAAGTATGGACTTACAGGTAGCTATCAGCTTTTTTAAGACAGCTAGGGTAGGATTCAAAGGTCACCTGAGGAGAACGCAAATTTTCTGGGTTCAGAGAATCCTAGTGTTAACAGCATCACACCATCACACCGTCATGTCTGCTGAGGCCATGTCTGAGGACTGTGTTTTATAAATGATTGAAAGAATGTGAAGAAAGATGAGAAGGAAGGAAAGGTTGGGGAGAAAAGGGAAGGAAAATGGACTTCAAATGAGGTTCTGCCCTGGACAACTTTAATGCATTACTATTCATTCTAAAGCAGTTTACTTTCAGCTTTAGAACTAGTGATTTTGACATAGAGATGTACTCCATTGCAAATCAATAGAGATTTTGGCCAGTGTAGACTAACACTATAATATATTGAATGAATAGATGTTAAAACTACGTGTGAAGCTCTTGGGAGGATACTGTGTGTCCCCCTGAAGATGTGTGTGGCTTCTCCATTGCAGGTGGACCCAAATAGCATCGCTACCAAGGACGGCCGAATTCGAGAGGGGGATCGCATTTTGCAAGTACGTGCTGTGATTTTTCCTTAACTTTCCTGCAGGCTCTCTAAGTTTTCACCTTAATTCTTACAAATGTTAGGAAAAAACAAAGGAGGGGAGGGGTGTCTTCACTCTTAGATATTACTAGGTATAAAACAAAAAGCCATCATTTAACACATTCTCAAAGTAAAGGTGGTGCCGTTTCTTAAGCGTTTTAGCGAACAATAGTGACAGACGAGCCCTCAAATGAGGTCACAGGACAATGAGGTCACCATTGGCTCCAGTACATTATTTGCTCTGCTTAATTTCAAGCCCATTTTCTCATCTTGTGTTAACAACTACCACGGGTGTGAAGGTTATGTGCGATTATATATGTGGCTTTTCCAGAATAAATTACTTGAACACAGATCCAAGTGTTCCCTTACTATATGGAAGCCTAGAGGTCTGAAAACGTTTTAACTGGTGACTAAGGAGTTGGGTGCCGAGGCCATGTGGAGGGACTGCGATTTCTTCTCCATACAGAAACATGAAAACATAAAGACCAATTACATTTCAGCGTAATGAGAGAGATGAGATGGGGAGCAGATCTTAGAGAGGTGTGGAGGCTGGAAGGGGCCTTCCAAGCCCCGATGAGGAGCCAGAGGCTCTGCTCTAACCAGCTTCAACCCACACCATCCCCCGAGTCCTCCTGGTAAAGAGCGCCAGAAAGAATCCGTACAGAGTCCCCAGCTCATGTCCAAACCAACCCCACATAAAGGGAGGTCACTTCTCCACTGGGTTTATTGTTAGTCAGGGCTATGAAGCAGAGAAGGAAGAGGCTGGTTTAGGAAGTTGAGGGAGTACAAACCTAAAACACTCTCACAACGGCTAGATGTAGTAGCACATCCAGATATATACACACACACACACACACACACACACACACACACACACACACACACACACACCCGCTGCAGCCGCCCAGCTATGTATGGACACCCTAGCACCCTGGGCATGGTTCTTTCAACTCTACCCTTTATCAGAACACTGGTCTTCAAACTTGAACAAGATGCATCCTAAGATTTAGGGGGTCCTGTCTTATCTAACTCTGAAGACAGTACACTACACAAATGATCACACTGCATGCAGCATGGCAGTGGGGAGAGTTGCCCAAGTATGGTGCTCAGGACCTTCCAGCCCCCAGGGTGGCCCTCGCTCACTCCCACCGCACCCCCAGCCCCTTCTCTCTGGCCTAATACCACAGAACTTTTCTATCAAAGACTTTCCTAGGTTAGTGATTTTTTTAGGGTCCAAGTAGTTTCCAGAAAACCTGAAGAATACATAGCTCAGTAGGCCCTGTAGTTAAATAGAATTGTGTCTTCTGTTGGACATATCAGGGGAGAAAACATCTAATCCAGACACAGCCCTGCTCACAGCCACATCTCCAGCATCTTCACACATACATGTGAACAAGTCAGTGAATGAAACAGGTATTCCGGACACCTGAATAAAATCTGCAGAAAAGCTTTGCCAGCATAACCTGTGTTAGAAGTTAATGCTTCATCCAGATAGTGAAAGGTTCAAAATGTTATATGTATCAAATTGAAAAGAAACGTTAACTGTGTCATCATCACTTTGCTAATATCTCCAAGTAAATATATTAAAATAACGTGACCTTTTCACTCTTGGGTCATTTATGCCTGCCAGTCACTATGCAGTTATATATGGTACTGCTCAAGGTCTGAAAGATGAGAGTTTTGTACCCTTTCAGGAATGGTTTGGCTACATTTTTCGATGTATTGAATCTACTGTCATGTTACTTACTGTTGACTCTTCCCTCTCACCAGCCCCTCTCCAAACTAACATCTCCTGTCACGCCACCACCTGGCTCCCTTCCTAATTTCTAGTTAACCACTATCCCACAGGCAAACACAGTTAATAAAATTACATCTTTTAGTTCTGTGACTAGCTGGATAGAAATGAGGAGCAAGTTTTTCTATACATGACACCATGTATTTCGAAGCTTCTAAATTCTCAGCTATACTGTATGTAGATTTTTTTAAAGTAATACTTACAGAATAATAAAGTGTTCCTTAATGGAGTTGGTTCATTGAAGATACAATGGCAGCATTGATAAAGTGCTGTTTTCTGCCAGATTGCTTTATAGTCTGTGAAAACACTGCAAACTTAATGAATAAATACATGTCACATTAAAAAGCCTAGATTTCAATTCTGTCTACACACATAGGAAACAAAGTGTCTTAAAGGTGTCAAGTGAAATTATATTAAATAAAACTGTGAAAAATTTGTACCCACAGACAAATAGCTCCCATCTGGCTGGTGAGGAGATTATGGGATACCCTGTAATGAACAATTAATGACTCCTTTCCCAGAGAGAGGGCAGTGAGAAAAACAGGATTTACTTCTTATCGGTGATGTCTCCTGGCTGGCTTTTATTTAAATGAACCCCTCTAGAGCAACTCTGATTTTAAATTTCTTTTTATGGTGACCTCAGTAGTGTGTGTTTGTGGCCATGCTCTCACTATGGAGCTAAAACGTTCTTTATATAGCACACCACAAACTTGTCAGGTGACTTCCCCATAACACACATCCCGCATGCACAGGTGAAGGGCATCTGCTAGAATCCTACAGAAGGGAAAGCACAAGCCAAATCCTCCAGAACATTCCTGCTCATGTTTCCTCTGCAAACGCTTAATGGTTCTGTCTCCTCTGCCAGTGCCAAGAACTAAGATCCAATTTGTCCTCAGAAATTAATCTAAAAAAGTGACAGGGCTGAAGAAGACATTTTTGAGCCAGATAGCAAGGGTTAAATGCCACCAAATAACTAGCTTCCCAAAGGAGTAAAAGTCATATATATACCCATTGTCTCCTTGGAGTGGTAATCCGAGAGGACTTCCTGTCAGCAGCCTCAGCCCATGCTGGGCAAAAAGCAAGCCATGTTCCTCAGGACTGTCCCGAGAGAGCGCTGCCAGAAAGCATAGCGGACTGTCAGCCTTTGAACCGACTTCCCCTCTCTGAGTTTCTTGTGTTTGTGTCTCTCCTTTGGGAGTCAGCAGGAAGGCAGTTTTCCCCAGCGTCTGTTCTACCCACATCTGTATCCATAGACTCCAGCCTCTTTTTCTCTCTGCACGTAAAAGATAAGCACATGAAAGAAATCACCTTCTTTTGCCCAACCTTCTTAGTTGTCTTAAGAATTTTCATGGTAATTGGATGCCAAGATTTCAGTTGTTCATTTGCCTTAGGAAGTCTAAATATGGGCACATTTAAGCAAAATATTATGTTATACCATCTATAGGCTTTCTCTGCCTTTTTTCTGTCTCTCCCTTCCCCTCCCCTGCTCTCCCCTCCCCTCTCCTCTCCTCTCCTTGATATTGAACCTAAGATGATATCTTTGACTCATTTCTCTCATCCAACACAAAGAAAATACCCACTTAAAAACTAATATTTACATACGATTATTCCAGACATCCAAATCTGCTGTTGACAAATATTTCCCTCATTTAGGACAAAACCTGTGTTTCTCCTTTCTTGTGGTTCTCATCCCCTCTTTCTTAAACCAGGAGTCTTTTGGGAAGTTTCGGGGGCAGGACTAGTTATCTGTCTGCTCCCTGGTGTTCTCCAGGCAGAGCCGGTTGCTTTCCCACAAGCAGTCCTGTAACCACAAGCTATTATTTTCAGGAACAAGGGCACCTGAAGGTTGAAAGCTCTATCTGATTCCATTCCTCCAATCTTTCATCCTCTGAGAGGCATCTTTGCCGAGTACATACATGGCAGCATCTCTTGTCTGGTCTGAGTACCACACTAAAATCCCGAGCACACTGGAGTTTCCAACCATCTCGCTAACATGGCCCTTATTTTGAAAAAGAAAACAATAAATTGCATTTTAATGGCAAATTTCTATGGTGTCTTCATTTCCTCCCATGAGTGATCCTGAATGGGAAGTGTTTCTGCAGCAAATGGTCTGGATTGACTGCAGACTGAAATGCTGATCACTCTGAGTTTAGCAAGAGAAGAATGGGTGCTCATGCAGGGGAATGCAAAGCAAGCTGCAGTGTTTCCTGGTGCCTCTAACAGTTAAAAAAATAGGAGCTAAATATCTTCCCAAAGAGAATCATGCCTACCACCGTGTGTTTTATTATTATTTGTAAATTTCATTCTATTTTTTTTAATTACTTATTTAATAGCCATATAATTAGAAGAAGCATTTCATGACAACAGCATTGACATATTCAATAACAATTTCCAGAGCTAAGATGCATCTGTTTCAAGATTGTCTGTAAATTTTTGGGTTTACAGTTGAATTAATACAGTTATAAAATATTGTGCTCAGTATAAACCCTATAAGACATAAAATTAAGTGCGGTTTTAAGAGGTTTTAACCTTTACAAATGATCTCCATTTCATTATTAAAATACACAGTTTCATACAGAAAAATTCATTTTTAATGCAATTGACACTAAGATGTTTGCACATGCATTTCTAATCTCTATATATCTGATTATTACTAGTCAAAGTCAGTCTGTTTTCTTTTTTAAAAAAATATTTATTTTGCCACACATGGTGGTGCATGCCTGTAGTCCCAGCACTTGGGAGGCAGAGGCTGGCGGATCTCTGTGAGTTCAAGGCCAGCCTGGTCTACATAGTGAGTTCCAGGACAGCTGAGGCTACAGGGAGACGTTGCTTCAAAAAGACAAAAAAAAAAAAAATTATTTTTATTTAATGTGTATGAGTGTTTTGTTTGAATGTAGGTAGGTGCACCCGTGTCATGTAATGCCTGCAGAGGACGGAAGAGCACAACAGATCCCCTGGAACTGGAGTTACAGACAGTTGTTAGCCACCATGTGGGTGTTGGGAATTGAACCTAGGTCCTCTCTGCAAGAGCAGTCAGTGCTCTTAACCACTGAATCATCTCTCCAGCCCTGATATTTTCTTTATTTAACAGGAAAAAGTGTTGTCTTTACTGAGGATTACAAACCTAAATGATGATGGGGCTGGCAAAATGCATCTTTACTGAGGAAAAATCAGTCCTGGGATCAACATATGCCCATGTGACCTTCTCAGTCCACATGAGCATCCACAACATCTCCTTCTCCACATTCTTCCCTACTCTGGAATTCTGGCTTCTATTGCCTAGTTGGACACATTTTTTGGTTTCTGAGAACTGGGAGAGGAAGGAACACACATGGAACTTATGAACACCAAGTTTCTTATTGAGAGACAAGTGAGAAATGAAGGTGGTATTTGTTTTGATCAAAGTAAGAGACACCTGTGGGTTGTGTGATTTTTTTTTCACTCCCACTGGTTATGATCTGCTTTTCAAAATATATATACTAAGAGCCTAGGAATAAGAATTATTTGCTGTTATTCAAAGTGGGGTTCTTGGGCTTGTTTTCTGATAATCATGTCTGGCCTCGTGGATCAGCATCAGCGAGAATACCAGAGACTCATGAAAAAAAAAAACAAAAAACCCAAATTACAAGCAGTAAATTATTTGGGGGAAAATGCTTAGCACAGTCACATTTTCCATCCATTTAACTTACCCACGTATTAACACTCATTTAGGCAGAATTTTTCTGTGTTTGAACATTCAGAGAGAGAATATGCTAATTAAAAAATAAATACATTTGAACATGAAGAAGTAGTGTAAGAAAGCTTATGTACACCATCTTCAGACCTCAGCAAAGGTCTGCATGCTGCTGTGGGACCCGAAGGTTCCTGAAGGTTGCTTTCTTTCCCTCATTTTGTAAAGCCAATTTTACTCTATGCTACTCTTTAAATTTTCTAAGTATTGGATGAGTTTTGTTGAGTGAGGAAGTGGATAAACTTTAGGAGCTGGGTGCTGGTGCATCCTGCTGAAGAGCGGCTCGGGTAGATTAGCCGCACTAGCCTAGATCTGGAGTGTTTGGGCAACTGAGTCAGACCCACAGGGGATATGAGGTGATTCACTGAGCCTGGTCAGCAGCGGGCTGGGAGCTGCTGCTCCCTAATTGGCTGGGGAGCCGCAGGATGACGGATTTCAGACGTGGTGCCGCCGGCCCTTCCCCAGCACTATTATCTCAGAGTGACACTTCCATTACTCTGAGCGGAGAAAGATGAACGTCACCTGTCAGAGGCTGGTTAATTGTGTTGCTAGATGTATGTTGCCAGGGCGCAGGTTGGACATTTATGAACATAACTGCTTCCTGTGATGCCCGCCATCCTTCAGGGATCGATATGGTCTTACAGGACGCGCGTAATTGAGTGAAGGCGCTTTCCACGGAGGGTGAAGATGAGCCTATTGTGGGAGCTTCATCGTCCATACATTCGCCAGAAATGAGCTGGTGTTTGCCATTTATTGTGTGCAGCACTGTGGAAATAGAAACTAATGTGCACTTGCATTTGTTCTCTAGATAAATGGGGAAGATGTCCAAAACCGGGAAGAAGCGGTAGCTCTGCTGTCTAGCGAGGAGTGGAAGAGAATCGTGCTGCTGGTCGCCAGGCCGGAGATTCAGGTCCGAGCAAAGCTGGAGACCGGACTTTGCGCTCACCTAGTTCATGAGTGAATGTGCATGCGTCCCTGCTCGGCTCCATCAACTCTGTCGATGTCTTTTTACAGACAAAATAGGGACACAAAATGCAGCACAGACTCATACTGACTACCTAACCTTGCACAAAAGCATTTGTTAAAGCGTCCCTCACACTCCCTCCCAAGGCCGCAAAGAATCCAATTTTATGGAAAAAATGTAAAGGACACAAAATTGAATCATTTTTCTCCCCTCCCCACTTGGTAGTTATTTCAACGAAACAACAAATGAAAAGCAACTGACTTCACATGATTTTAAATTCTGTGGGGATCCTTGCTTTAGGCTTCCATCTAAAAACATGTGAGTGGCATATTAAGGCATCCTGAACGATTCTCTAATGAGAAAAATATAAGCATAAGTGACTATCACCTTAAATCCTTAGATTAAGTTTATTAAATGAACTATCTATGCTGAGGTTCAGTGCAGGACATGAGTTCTTTTCTACGTTTTATGTGACAAAAACATTTATCTGGCCCTGCAAAAATCTGATGATTCAAAAGAAGTTTTTTTAGACCACAGGTCAGAGGAAGATTTCATAAAATGAAAGGAAAGGTAATGGTGACTGGAAACTACAGCAGGTGTCTCCTTCCACATCTTCTCCTGTCCTACCACAAGGCAGGAAGGGCCCTGTCCGCTGTAGTCACCTGTCAGTTCTTTGAGTGAAGATGGTTATGTCACCATTTGTCTCCTAGGTTATTGATCTGATATTTTTCAGACTCAGTAACTGCAAACTCTATAAATTACACTAAGTGTATTTCAGTGTCAGGCTGAGCCCTGACTTGAATATGGTGGTTATAAAAGACCACCATTTCCGCATATATTTCCTTTATGCCCTTGACCATTCTAAATGGGTCTCTTAAAGTCTGCCATAGCCTAGAGCAGAGTAAAGCCACACACCTGAGTCCTCAGAGTGGGGAAACTAGCCCACACAGCAGGCTGGACTGCCTTGCAGAAGGAGACTTTTAAATACATATGAAATTGTACCAATTACCTGGAAATTTCTTAAGTCAATTGTCTGGCCAATCCCATTTCCCTTAAAAAAGAACAGAATAAAGAGGCTAAGCATGTGTCAATGGAGTTCACGATAAGTTGAAATGAACTGAGTAGCCATCCTGATGTAGGAAGATTTGCTATAAGATAGTTTCCTGCCCCTTCCACGTAGCACCAGAGAAACTCATTTAGAACTGACTTCCATAGCTGTCATGATGGGTGGTAGAAAGAATGGAAATTAAAGGCATAAGACTAGATCCTGTTACTATTTGTTACACATGCCTGGCAGGACAAGCTTGCTGTCCTGAGCGTTCTCCTGAAAGAGTCAACGTTGGAGGGTGACTCATCAAATCAGACTCTACTATTGATAGCAGACAGTCTCTAATGCCATAGGACACCATACCACCTGCCAAAATCAAAATTTGCATTTGACCCCTGATCCTAAAAAAAAAAAGCTCCATGCCCCTGGAAGGAACACAATTGCCTTGAAATTGGATTTCCAAAGAAATCAGCAAAGAAAATACATTTTAGCAGCATACTTTAACAATGCGATTTAAACAGTACATACTACAATTAGAAAACCAGATTATCTGTTTCTATCAGATTCGGCGTCTGTCATTGCGTGGTGTACATGTTTGCTTTGTACAAGGAGATTGTGGAAGCTTTTTGTGTGCTTTTTCTAATGGGTTTTAAAAATGTTTCAAATACTTTCTGGATTCTTGGAAATAATCTATGTACTTGCTGGGGGCAGTATTGTGCATCTGTGCAATATTTTTAAATAACCCATTTCCTTCATTCCCTGTCACCTTTCTCTCATTTCCTGCCCATTTTCTTCCTCCGACCATTAAAGATATTGTTTTTCTGTCCTAGTTCCCCCAGGAGATGGGGGCAGAGAGGGCTGTCAGAGGCACTTGGGGCCACTACTTTTGAGACATCTACTTTGCTTCCTTCTCTGCAATAGCACGTGTGACCTACTTAACGCAGACACAATGTCCTGCACTGTACAGATGACCCTTCTGGTCCTGCAGCTCAGCTCAAGGAGCAGATGTCTCTATGACGCTCTAGATTCAGGTTGCTGTTAAGGAAACAAGCCCAATTGTCCCTATCAGCCTGGTTGCAGTTCTTTTAACCCAGGACTGTGGGAGAAAATGAATATGACAGCTGTGGGTTATGCAGTATGCTTTTCATACCTTTTGAAAGAAAGTAATGCTCTATGCTGTGAGATTTACTCAGTTGTAGAGGAAATCCATAGCTCTGTCAAGAAAGGAGGATAAAAGACCTAAGAATTCTTTTTTTTTAAATCACCTTTTCTTCTAAGAGGTGAGCTATAGGCAGCTAGCATTCTGAGGAGAATCACTATGATAAAAGGCACCACCATTTACGTTTAGCTCGTTTTAGCCTGGGTCCTCACTAGCATAATAAGACGCACTAATGCATTCTTTTGCAGCTGGATGAGGGCTGGCTGGAAGATGAAAGGAACGAATTCTTAGAGGAGTTAAACTTGGAGATGCTGGAAGAACCGCGTCAAGAAGCTGCACAGCACTCAGCCAAGGAGGTGGAGCAGGTAAGGCCAGAAATTGAGCTGCGTCCTTGGAAGTGGTACTAGTTCTTTCTTTAACAGAGAAGAGAACACGATGGAAGTGTTTGATCACACCTCTCTGTCACTGTAATCTTTTTGAGCAGGTGATCGTTTCCAACAAAGCAGAGGGAACACGTGGTTTTCCATTGCCAGGTTGGTGGCTGTTGTTAAAATAATACAACAGCATTAAAATGTTGGCCCAGCTGGTGCTTCAGCCTAATTCTCAGAAGCTTAGTAGTGAAAGTGTGTGCTGCCTATGGTTATGGTGGCTGGAGAAAACTGTTAGTCATAAGATAACTTCAGAACCAGAAATTCGAACTTTGAAATGCGAACACTTCTATTTAACTATTTAAGCTGTCACTACAAGATGACAACACACTATAAAGGTTTGTGCACTTGATGGGTTAATTACACCTGTGTACTCTTGAACAATCACAGAGCTGACTTTTGCCTGTCACTGACACAGTGTGCAGCATGCCCCATGGCATAATTTGAGATCACTGACATCATTTTAAGGTCACATATTCGTTCAACCAAAAATAAGAAAACTGGGCTTCTAAGAAGCTCAAAGTACCGTACTTGATGCCAAGAATATATGCAAAATGAGCAGAGTTCCTGACCTTAATTAATTCATAACTAGTGAGCAGTCACACCGTGGCTATGGTCTGAGTCCTAAGAACCTTTTCATTTTTGTTATTTTTCACACCACATAAAAACAAGATTATGTGACCTAGATTTTTATGTCTAACTCACGTCATTCATCTGCTTGATATAATTTTAACACTTCCCTGTCAGTGTACTGATTGTTTAATTATCATCATATTCTCAGCACTAATTTTTAACACATCCTAACAGATCGTATTTTAAATACTGACAGATTTATCCACATGAAGCATAAACATTCTATCACCTCACCAAGCTGCATAATGAAATATATTTACATGCTAACATCTCAAACAGAAGTTACTAAGCAAACTCTTAGACTGCAAACTCCATTGTCCACACTGCTGGGTGCTATGTGCTGTATTGACTGTGACTCTCAGAACAGAAGCAGCCGTTGAAAAGATTGCTCTGCTATACAAGCAGGACTGTAATGTGTGTGTATGACTTCAACACTTGCCACAAATAAAGAGGTTTGTTGGTGGCAGCTGCTGGTTACAAGCAAGAAAGTCCTTGCTCGGGGCTTCTCTCTTAGGTACAAAATGTGACCTGATGTAGAATTGACAGGAAGATGCTGGACTAGAGAAGGAAGGAAGAAATCCTGTCTAGGTAAAGTGATACAGTGTCAAGTGCTGCCTACTCATCAGACATAACACAAATGTGAGGGCTCATGAGGTAACACTAGATGTCCCCGAGGTTGGATTCTCACTGTATGAAAATTGTTCTTCACCGTGAGTCTGAAAAATGATGAGACGTACAGAAAGAAACCTTACAACATCTTTTGCCCTTATAGACAATAATGCCACATTAGAAGTGTTCTGATAGAAACACTGCCTGTCACTATCAAAATCCCATAAGGAAAAATAAATGCTGGAGAAGCGGTTCATTAAAGCCAGGAACTCTGAGTTTCAGAATGGAAACTTCGTTTTCACAGTCTCTCAAAGACCAGCAACAAATGAATGGAAATTCGATTTTAAAACTTTAGTAGGTATCTGTGCACTCACTTTATGCAAACGTCAACCGTCAACCGCGGCTGCTGTTAAAACATTGTGCATCATTTCTCAGAAAAGTACTAACCTTTCTGCTACTCTCTTTGAGTCCTTCCAAGGTCTGAGAAAGTTTCCTCGTTGGAAGCATTACATATAAACTCAGATGCCCGGTGTCACTAGACCATTGAGGGTGTATTGACACCGGCACAACACACAGCCCTTATAACCATGTCAGACGGAACTGTGGCAGGTCTTCCCTTGGTAGTTACTTAGAATTTATTATCAGTAAGACATTTAAAATCAATCAGTGTGTTTTTAACAAATGAAGAAAAGCATTGTAGGGAAAACTCAAGAACCCTAGAATTAAATGATAGAAGGCTGTATTCTCTTTAAAATTTGTGTCACATTACATTTGGGGAACAACGTAGCAGTTATCTAGAGAGAGCTTTCAGAGTTATTTTAGGATACTTTTATTACCCTTTCCATCTTTACTTAGCACAGACTTAATTATATTTAATTATGTAGTTAAACTTGCTAGAGTAAAGAGATATCTATTAGTGAATGCATTTGGATGTTAGGCAAATAGAATACAGACTCTGCAGTGTAGAGCAATGTCTGATGTGTGGTAAGAGGAAAAAGCAATTTTACCATATTTTTCTCATTGGCCAGTGTTGAACTGCCCTCAATGAGACAAAAATTACCAGGGAAATTATGTGTACTTATAAACACATGTATGTACTATATGTGTGCATATATGTCAAGAAGTGTTTCTTTTATATTACGTGCATGTCTGTCAATCAGTATTGTTCAAATTTTCATGGGAATTTCCACTGGCCATTCAACATGGCATCGGGTATTGGAAAAACAAAAAACTGTATTGTATGGTCAAACAAGGAAGCCAGGAGCTGAAGGAGGGCTCACCTCGGCCTCTGTCGGGGGTTGGTAGTGGGGATTTCTAGGAAGAGTGGGAGAAGTCGGGCTTGTCTCCTGATAGCTCACACAATTCGTTCTAGACAGATATTCTTTGTACTGGGCATTGTGAACTTAGACACCATTGCCCAGACAACTTGGCTCCATTTGTTCATGTCCATTCTTCAAAAGCTGGTTCCAAACCACAATAGTCATTAACGAAAGATCTTAGTTCTTTTCCAGGAAGACAACTTAAGAATTTTGTTGTTAAGGAATTACATCCAGATGTGTCCAGGCCAGAGGTGATTTCATCCTTTGTCTTTACTCACTTCTCCATCTTGAGAGAGTTGGGTGACAACTGTTGTGGTTACTTCCCACTGAATTAAGATTGGTGAAGGGTCTTGGGTTGAAGACTGAGACCTGTGGGGAGGGAAAGAACAATAAATAGAAGGTCACCATTATGTCTAAGCAGTCCAAACAGATTAAGAAGACAGATGCTCACTCCATCATAAACTGCAGGCTGGAGCATAGAAAGAACCTAGCCCAGCAGGACACAGACCAAGACAGCTGAACTCAGAAGGGAGACCAACCCCAGTCAAGCAGTAGGGTCCCTGACGGTGGCTGTAAAATCCTTATGGCTCTTGTTGAGCTATGTTGACATGGGTGTGAAAACTTCCTTTCCCTACATCTACAGAAGAGGCTTTCTGAGAGGCCAGTACAAAGTCTAGTGCAGCTACCCACGGACACCCAGGTGGGATGCTTCCTCATGGCCCTGTGGGCCTTTTCATTTGGGGATTTTACACCAATTTCTTACTGGAGCCTCTTTTTGCCACTTGCCGGGCTCTTCAGTCAGTGAGTGTTAAGACATGGGTGTACAAGAGGGATCTTCTTTGTTGTTGTTTTTTCCTGAGAAACGACTTAGACCAGTTAATCATGTATAATAACGTTTAGAGTGATGGATCGCTTTCAGTTTTTATAACCATGTAATATTTTGACAGTGTTCCTTAGTTGGGTTTTATTTTCCCTGTGGTGGTATGAGAAGTACAGAAGTGTGAATGCACATGTTTCTCGTAGCTTTACTGGCAGGTAATCAAGAATAAACTGGTTATCAAGAACCATATGGGCAAGGGAAAATTTTTAAAGACAAAAATGGAGGTGAATTACTTTGGGTATTCTGAACAGTAATCCTCGCCATAGACTAAAACAAGGATAGCATCAGCCTGAGGTTGGACAGAGTGCTTGGAAAATGTCTGTTTTGTTATTTAAGGAATTTATGTCCAGGTGTGTCCAGTTGTTAACCAATTTCACTTGCAAAAGACTAAACCTCATCTTTGAAGTAAAGAACTGGGTAGAGGTCCCAAAATCATTTTATGGGACTCAAGTCCTCTTGCTTTTGAAAGGCATGATTTGGGGTGTGCTGACGTTACATGTCCAGGAACACAGCATCTGCCTCAAGAACTGCCTGAACTGGGTGTAGAGCTTTGCTTCCAGCCCTGCCACTCATAACCTAAGTTCTTCAGGGATTAAGCTTCCATGTCTTCAGATAGAAAGAAGGTCTGGAGCTCCAGCACATAAGGATAACCTGGCCCTATAACTGTATGACATTGTACACACTATCAGCATATTGTTCTCAATAAAGTTTTCTTTGAATTTAAGGAAAGTTAAGATGCAGCAATAGTTAAATCCTCCTGGCTTCTAAGCTCTAGGGCCTCAATATTTCTGGAGCCCATCTAAGCTATTCAGTCTCACTTACTCTTCTGGTATTTTCACTTGAGAAATTCATAATCACATCATGTCAACACCTGTTTCCCAAACAAGAGCCTAAAGGTAAAGCTCCTTCCTTTACACCTATCTTGTTTCATTTATACCCAGTGAATGTTATGGCTATGTTGAAAGACGTTTCGTTTCCTCTATCTCATGGCATAAAAGCTTGCCATGAGCTAATTGTCTTTATTTCTGAACTTGTTATGCGCACTAAAACTAGAGCAGCTTCCAGGCACTGGACTTTTGCCAAGAAGCAATGTTTTTCCAGAAAGTTTTCAACACCAATGTTTCTCAAAATCATTTCTTGTGTTCTCTTAACTTTATTTTCTCAGCCAAAAAGGCAGGAAGAAGAAGAAGGTGCCACGGACACTGCAACATCCTCCTCCAACAACCACGAGAAGGACAGCGGGGTGGGGCGAACAGACGAAAGCCTGAGAAACGAGGAGAGCTCTGAGCTGGAGAACGCAGCGGAGGACCCGCACAGCACATCTCTGCAGAGCAAGAGACGGCTGGGGCCGAGCGGAGACCCCGTCAGGAGCAGCGAGCTGCAAGGCCCCGACAGTGTGTCCGGTGAGTGTGTGGACTCGGACTGTGCTGGCCACCACGCCCAGGACTGTGGGCGATTCCAGCAGCTTCTGGAGCTCAAATGCAAGATCGGAAGCCATGGGCAGTATGGCGTGTATTACTCAAGCAGCACGATCGAATGCCGTCGAGGGGAGCAGGCGGGAGTGGAACATGAGCTGCAGCTGCTCAATGAGGAGCTGAGAAACATTGAGCTCGAGTGCCAGAGTATCATGCAGGCTCACAGGCTCCAGAAAGCGACAGACCAGTACGGAGATATCTGGGCGCTGCAGGATGGGGGACTCCGAAATTACAGCACCAGCCTAGACAGGCGGAGGGGGAAACTGGATGACATCATGGAACACCCAGAGAGGTCTGACAAGGACAGCTCCAGTGCGTACAACACAGCCGAAAGCTGCCGAAGCACCCCCCTCACCCTGGACCGGTCTCCTGACAGCTCCCTCCCGAGGATGATCAGCCTCACCAACAAGAAGAACTTGCAGAGCACCAGTACAGAGCGTGCGTCCCCTTCCGGCCAGCACAGCAAGGAGCCCACATCCACCAAAGTCAAAACCGCAGAAGCCTGCAGCATGGAGAGTCAGGAGAAGGTTCTAGAAAGCAGCCAGCTCCCAGACCACGAGGTGGCCGAGCACATCCCTTACCTGTCACCCTACCACAGCTCCTCCTATAGGCACGCGGACATCCCAGCCCACGCCCGCCACTATCAGAGCTACATGCAGTTAATTCAGCAGAAGTCTGCGGTGGAGTACGCCCAGAGCCAGCTCAGCTTGGTGAGCATGTGCAAGGACCCCCTGAGGGGATCCGAGCCCAAGATGGAGTGGAAGGTCAAAGTCAGGAGCGACGGGACGCGGTACATCACCAAGAGGCCAGTGCGAGACCGCATTCTGAAGGAACGTGCCTTAAAGATCAAGGAGGAGCGGAGCGGCATGACCACGGACGACGACACCATGAGCGAGATGAAGATGGGGCGCTACTGGAGCAAGGAGGAGAGGAAGCAGCACCTGGTCCGCGCCAAAGAGCAGCGCCGGCGCCGCGAGTTCATGATGCGCAGCCGGCTCGAGTGCCTCAAGGAGAGCCCGCAGAGCGGCGGCGAGGGCAAGAAGGAGCTCAGCATCCTGGAACTCAGCCACAAAAAGATGATGAAAAAGAGGAACAAGAAAATTTTGGATAACTGGATGACAATCCAAGAACTGATGACCCACGGGGCCAAATCTCCTGATGGCACGCGCGTTCACAATGCCTTTCTGTCAGTGACCACCGTATGACCAGATGAACGCACAGCTGACTTTAACAAGATGCTACCAGTGTCGGTAGAGTACGATTGCCTCGTTCAATGTGGCGTTTTTATATATATTTTGTGACTTTATAGTTTAAAAGTTTTGTAAGCAAAAAAATACCTGGTACTTTTTCATTTGCTTTTCATACGCTGGTACCTTCTTTTGGCTAAGATCTTTCCTTAACTTGTGATATATTCATAGCCCTCATTTATAGAAAAGGAAAGAAAAGGAAAGAAAAAAACGAACAAAAATACGGAGCTAATTAATTTCCTACTTTAATGTATCTATTGTAAGTTGAAAATCTGGATTTATTTCTCTAGTTTGCTTATTTTCTACTTTAATAATAACTCAATGCCAAAACATTTCTATGCTTAACTCTCCGGCATAATGTATACTAACTCAAAACTTCTAAAAAAAAAACACCTGCCACATCTTGTCTTATACATGAACCAACACCCCCTTTTAACATCCTCGTGTACATTTAACACATAAATGGCCGTTGTCTTTGTCTCGGTGGAGTGTGGCTGGACAATCTTCCTGTGATGTGTAGTCACATTGGTTGTGTAGCTAGGTGATTGTGTTAATTTGTGACAATGCAAAGAAATAAATTATTAATTATCCTTCAGAAAAGTTATCAAGGATGGTTATTTTCATTGTCCACTGTGGTTAACAAATTAGTTATATGCCTACTATTTAAGAAACTCCTAATTGTGATCTAATCTGTGCACATTTTCTACCACCCGTTTTCTAATAAAGTTGTCTTGAAATGCTACCTGTTGATCATTGTGTCACATTTTCCTACCAGGATCAAATCAGAAAGGTGTGTAGTATATCAAAGATGCTAAATAATTAGCATTTAGTTTGCATTAGTTCATCTTCCTCTTGCTTTTCACATAAGGTAAAGCCAAGAACTATGTAAGGAAGAAGAGAGCTCAGTAAAGCACCTCCTATGATGTCTGATGACACCATCCACTTCATTCAGTCAGCCAAGAAGCCCCATGGCCTGGGTGGCTTAAACAACAGGAACATGCCTCTCACAGCTCTGGAGACTGTCAGATTACCCAGTTTCAGTAACATACAATCTAGTCTGTAACACAGCATGTTCATTTAAATGGTCATTTACAAATAAATTTTGGGGAAACATTTTTGTAGTAATTTTCAACCTGTTCCATTAAATGCCTTATGTATTGTCATTCAAAAGTAGATTGTTAACTGGCTAGGTACTTTTTTTAAACTTTATTTTATTTTGAGAATTTCATACAGGAGTATTGTATTTGCATTGTGTCTGTATCGCCCAGGCCCCCTCCAACCCCTTCATGTCATCCCCCCACTTCCTGTGCTCTTCTTGTCCTCTTCTTTGATTATTATTGCTGCATGTACATATATATTTATAAACATATATGATGCACTGGGTCCATTTATTGCCAGTCTGTGCCTGTGTTTAGGCTGCTTCTTGGGATTAGATAACCTCTTACAGAGCTAGTCCTTAATCCTCCCTCGGCACCCACTGACTGCATTGAGGTCTTCATCTTGAGGTGGGACCCTGTAAAATTTCCCCCACCCACCTTGCCATGTCAACTGCTTTCGTCATGCTGCAGATCTTGTTAGACTATCATACTATGGAGATTCCATGAGTGTGGCTTCCCCATCATGTCTTGAATGCATTAACTAGCAACAGGTGCCTTGTCCCTCTGGCTCTTACTTTTCATCATTTAAACATTTAACATCATGTGCCAATCACAATGCCTACAGAATACAAGGTAATGTTAACTATCCATGAAAATTTTCATTTAATCCAAGTTGTTGGACACAATGGGGACACAGCATCTAAATACATCCGTCCAAAGCTAGTTTCCTATATAAAAACCTACAGGGACTCCCTGTCAGCTCTTGGATTGGTCTCAGGCCTCGGCACCATGTTCAAGGTCTCCATAACGTGCCCTCCTTGTCTGTCGCTCGTCCTCTTCACATCTTCTCTGGGTTATTCCTGCCCCTTAGCAGCCTGCACATTCTCACTGATGTTTGTACGTCACTGATGTTTGTACGCATTGCTTCCCTGAGATTTCTGTAACAGATCGTATGCCTTCTTGGAGTGCAATAACACTCCGATATTTTTGGAGACTGTTTGGAGGCCATCATATTGTCTTTACTCTTTAGTTATACATACTGTTCTACTTTGGAAACGTCATTCATCGTTAAATCACACATAGAGAGCGTATTGCCTCTCTGCATAGACTTTTCATTCATGAAGGGATACTCCTGAATCTTCATCTTTGTAACTCTCTGCTTAAATTCCATTTGAATACTCTTTAACCTACATTATTTTTAATTATTTATCCCTTTTCCTTTGTTTTAGTTTCACCTGTTACTGTGATAAAGCACTCTGACCAAAACAAAATTAGGGAAGAGAATTTTTATTTCATCCTCACTGAGGGGAGTCAGGCAGGATCTCAAGCAGGACTCTGAGGGCAGGAACTGAAGCAGAGACTATGAAGGAGCACCACTTACCGGCTGTTTGGATACCTCTTTTATACAGTCCAGGGCCACCTGGCTCACTCTCTGACTAGCTTGTTCAGCTTAGATAACTTCCTTTTACAGCCCAGGGCCACCTTCCCAGGGAACAGTACTACCCACATTAGACTTGGCCCTCGTACATCAATTATTAATCAACACAATCCCTCAGAGACACCCACAAACCAACCTGATGATGACAGTTACTCAACTAAGACTCCTTTTGCAGGTGATTCTCAGCTGTGTCAAGTTGGCAGTTGATGCTAAATAGGACACCCTGCATAGTGGTCATTTGGTTCCCTTCTTCTTCTACTTCTTCCGTATTTTTATCTTTGTAAAGGGCTATAAAATACAGGGAAATATGCTGATTTTATTTACATGTAATGAAAAGTTGGACTCAAATTTTATAATAGTGACAACAATACAAACTAAGACAGCTATACATTTCCTTGCTTCTTAAATTTAGCCATCATTAATACAATGACTAAAACCACTCCATGTACACCTGAAGGACTCACTGTATTTTGTTTGTTTTGTTTTGGTGCTGGAAATCAGCTCCAGGACCACATACATGTGGGCAAACAGTGTACCACTAAACTAGTCCCCAGTTCTGGAGTTGACTTTTATCATAAGGTTTTCAAAAAAAAAAAATGCCTATCTCTCTTAAGTTCAGTTCTTTCCAATTCAGACAAACTATGGTTTCTCTTTCTCCTTCACACACACAAGCCAGTATGTATATTTTTCTGAAGAAATATGTACACATTTCACAGAATGTAAGGTTACCCAAATTAGCAGTTTAATTTTAGTTTTATTAAAGCCAGTATGCTTGCCAGTTTCCTAAAACTGTGATACATTTTTCATGTCTGTGTTTATGAAGTTCTACAATTTTTTTAAAAATCTCTAAAAATTTGGTGAAAAAACCTGAAAATTGCTATGCTTTGTCTTTCTACACAACCAATCTTTGTGACAAATGTGTTTAGCAAATGAATAATAAATCTATTACTCACCAAATATAAATTATCGGTTATATGTGGAATATTTTATTTCTGTTCAAGAGAAATACATGGACATGAAGAAAACATTTTATTTGGGATTGTCTTTGAAATTTTGTTTTTAGCCTTGCTTTTTATGCTGATGTAACATATCGGTGTTGGGATCTGTGTGCAAGGACCCAAGGAGAATGACAAAAGTCTAGGTTCAAAGGCTGTTTCTTCACCACATACCATGCAGAGTGCTACTGTAGTGTTCCTGGTCTGTTCGCACAGTCCCTTTATAAACACCTGCCTAGTTCTGTATTGACTTGACCCATGTGCTGTTGGACTGCCAACCTCTTCCACCTAAATTCACCATTTTCTGCCTGTCCTGGGCCTCTTCCCTCAGCCTCAAGCTCTTTATGATGGCAGCACTGTTCATTTGCTCTCACTTGACAGTTCTCACTCTTGAGCTGCTTCTTAACTGGCCATTTATGAAGCAACGTCAGTTCTTTCTCAAAGTGCATTGCATCGCTTCCAGTGGTCTTGAAACACCGGAGGTTAGCACACTGCTGTCCCCTGCCTGACTGCTTAGTCTATTTCTGGTCTCCCTCCTCATTCTATCCTGCCCATGGCAGCAACATCTGCTTGCCTCAACATCATTTCCCTCACTATCAGGATATATCTGAGTTCCTGAGGCTGTTATTCCAGGATTTCCAGGTCTTTCCTCCTCGTCTCTCTCACATCTCCATGAGGGGCTTCCAACTCAAACCCTGAGAAATCTACACCTTTGGGAAATGATTTCTCTGATGTTCTGTAGGAGAGCAAGATGGAAGGACTTAGGACAAGATGGGCCTGAACTTTGAAAAAAAAAAGAATGCAGAATTTTAAAAACAATGAACCATTTGTAAAGATGTGAATTATAAAACATATGCAATTAAAGTCACCAGGCTTATACACTTAACAACTCATACAACATCACAGGCCTCTTACCTCCCATGAGTCAAATCAGCCAGTAGCACTAAGTAAACAAATTATGAGTCTGCTAGTGATGTGAACTTCCAAGAAAGCCAAATCCCATGGGAAAACATAGGACATTTGTATTTTTATTCTTAAGTAACAGGAATTAGTTCTTAAAATCAGTTCCACTACAAAATTTCTTCTGTAGTCTCTGCTTACAGAAATAATCTGAGTTTTTATGAATTCACTGTTACTTGAACTAAAATCATTGTTTTGAGTATAAAATATTGTGATGGTTAATCTCAGCTGCCAACTTGATAGGAATCTAGAATCACCTAGGAGACAAGTCTCTGGGCATGCCTTTGAGGGATCTCTAGATTAGGCTAACCTCTTCAAGGGCTTGTGAAGGACTATCTTGATTAAGATGAGGGGTAAGACCCACTCTAAATGTGGGAGACACCATCTCCTGGGCTGGGGTTCTGAGCTGCATAAAAAGGAGAAGGTGAGCTGAGCCCAGCATTCACTGCTCTCTGCTTCCTGACTGTGCACACAATGTGACCAATCACCTCAAACTCCTGCCACCATGACTTTCCCACCATCATGGACTATACCTCAGACTGTGAGCTAAAATAAACCCTTCCTTCCTTAAAAAAAAAAAAATGATCAGGCTGCAGCCTCTGCTAAAGGGCAAAGCACTGAAAACAGTGTTTCACAGCCCTGTCATGTGGAATACCACAATGACTAGCAGAAGGCAGTTGGCCAGGTTAACAGTTTACAGTGCCCTTTGTTCTAGGAAGAAACATCTTGACTTCCTTGATCTAAGAGGAGAAAAACAACCTAATCAATAACACTGGGGGAGTGTAATTGAAATTAAGACATCTTGGTTAATAGCCCTGACATAGTCCCTTATCTTGAACAACCGACCCTCTGCCCACACTAAAGGATTGAACAACCTGTGGGACAGGCTACATGATCACCCTTTGTTTTTTGTCTGGTTGAACTTCACATGTACCCTAGACCATGCTTGTACCCACTAGCCTCGTTTTGTGTATAAACTTCTGAATCAGAGAATAAAGTTGATTTGTTGCAAAGGTCTCAAGTCCCAGAGAGAGGCTCTTCACTGCCCATATCTCCATCACAGAAGCAAGATTCCCCCACAAGGTAAAGCAAGACAGCCCCCCCACCCCCACAATGTTCCCTTAAGTTAACAGTCTTTAAATTTTAATAAAAAGCTTAATTGAATTTATGCTTTATTGTTTTCCACTGAGTCATTATTTCTAGGAATAATTATCAATGCAATTAAATACA